GGGTTTAGGGTTGAGGGTGTAGGGCAGGAAGGTAGAAATTCAGCGTTTAGAGTGGTTGTCTCACAGGGTGCTTTGGCGTCTCTTTCTGCTCTTTTTGCTGTTTGTACTGCCCCGCTGCTATGCCTTATAATCCTAATCCCCAGAGCCTAAACCGAACTCTAAACTCTAAACCCAAAGCCCTAAACCCCGACGCCCTAAGCTTGAAAGCCTACGCCACCATCCCCCTAGGATTTACGGGTTCAGGGTTTACGGGCTGAGGGTCCTCCCCGAGCACCTGAACCCCTACACCCCAAAGTCTAAGCCCCTAAAACCTTTAAACCCTAAGCCACTAAACCCTAAACCCTAAACCCTAAACCCTAAACCCTAAACCCTAAACCCTAAGCCCTAAACCCTAAAACCCTAAACCCTAAACCCTAAGCCACTAAACCCTTCTACGAGAAGGGAGGGCCTTCAACGTCGCTGGTATGCCCCTTGCCGTCCAGACCCCTTAAGCTCCTAAAGCCTCGACTCCGAAGCACCTAATCCCACAACCCCTAAAGCCCTTCTTTACCCCTACCTGGAGGGTCGGGGGACATAGCTGCTATAGGATGATTATTGGGAGTTGGAAGTTTTCATCCTGCAAAAAATGGCTACTTGCGAAGCCAGGCGAGCTGCAAAGCAAGCCCCTCAAACGGGTTTAGTTTAGCAGTTCAGGGGTTTAGGGGTTTAGGGCTTTTCAACTCGAACCTCTCCATTCTGCTGTACAGCCCTTATACCCTTGTACAATCCCGACATAAACCCTCTACAACCCCCTAAAAAGAACCCCCCCTACCTTTTCAAACCCTCCTAAAAACCGTCTAAGACCCTGAAACCACTTTACGCAGCAGCCGAAACTCTAAACCCCAAGCCCCAATTCCTATAGAACTCGTATACGGCCCTTACAGAGCCCTGATAGACCTCTTGTAGAACCCTTGACCCATAACCGTAATTGACAAAGGTACTTGTCGGCAGCACTGGCATCCACGACCTGGAGCGAGGCGCGAGGAGTTACCGCTTTGCAGAGTTTATGTGCTGTTATGTACTCGGACTTTACGTTGTGTTTATAGGATGTTATGAGGTTTTGTCGGGCTTCATAGAAGGGTTTGCTCTATAGGAGTTCAGGCTTTCAAGTTTAGTTCTCGATTAGGGGTGTTCAGGGCTTTGAGTTCTAGGTTTTCGAGCTTTCGGGTTGTAGGGTTTCGGGTTGAACTATCTCGGAGTCTGGGTTTGGCGGTCAAGGGTGCAGGGTGTAGGGTTTAGGGTTCAGGAGTTTGCCGGGCTTTCCAGCTTTTTACGTCTGTTTAGGATTGGTGCCGTTGAGGCCATTGCTATCTGCACTGCGACGATGTTCGTTACCAGGACTCTGCGTAGTGGGTGACAATGGAGAGGATGTCGGAGATCATCAAGGACATGAAGCCTCGGTTTGGGTTGATGGTTAGACTTTCTTGGTTTGGGCTTTATGTGCTTGAGGTTAGGGCTCCTGATCGTCATGATGCTTGGCCGTGAGGATGGCAGTGCTACTCATGCTGACGATGCTTGCTGAGGGACGTCATCGGTTAGTGCCAGTAGTAGTATCCTTATGCCATGCAGAGTAGTAGTACCCTTAGTCCATGCAGCGCACTCTTATATCATCAACGTACATAGTTCAATCTGACACCGTATAAACACCCTAAACACCCCAAAATGGATTGCAAGTCAGTTGTGTAGGATCCTCTTTTAAGGAAGTCTGCACCCGATAGGCCCGCGTTCAAAAGGATCTGTTAAAGAAAGCTCCATGTTTCGCTGCTTCCTCGTGCACTTGCGGAAGCAACACAACAGCTAGTCTGTATGGTGTCATCAGGTATTCGTTGCTAGATGTTTCCAGTTGTTAGTCTTTTTCTTACTCTGGTTCTTGCGCTCGTTTTGCTTTGTGTCCGAACAGTGTGGTAGTCATGACGGCATTACATGTGCACATAATGATGATGACGAAGAAGCTGATGATGATGATGATGATGGTGGTTTTCCAGCGATGGCCCCCTTGATCTTTCATCGATGTCTTCTAGGGAAGGAGGAGAACACACAGATAAGGCCTTGAGAACACCATATTCTTGCTGGTGTGGCGCAGGTCGTGCTATTTGTGAGCATGCTGGCCGTGTGCTCAGCTTTTGGACATGGTCTGTGCCAAGCCGGTAGTCGTAGGTACAGCACACTCGCAAAAAGCAGTCATCAACCTCATCATCACCATCATGGCCCATATCATCATCCTGTTTATCTTCACAAGTGGTATCCGCATGTAATACTTACTCGCTTACTAGTTGCAATCAGGGCCGTGTCAGTCGTCATGACAGTCCTGGTAGTCGTACCGCTACTAGGAGGATTGGGTCTGCGACAGCGGCGGCGGCGACAACCGTCATAACGACAAGGACTACACCAACGACAGCAATTTCGATCAACAGCAGCGACTAGTAGTACTGCTGCGGCGGCTGCCGCTGCGCGTCCTGCTCCTCCTCCTGCTCCTCCTGCTCTGCGGCTGCTGCTACTTGCTGCTGCTGCTGCATCTTGCTGCTACTCCTACTGCTACTACTGTTACTACTGTTTTACCAATGCTATGGTTACGACTCTGCGCATAGTATAGCTTGAATGACTTGAGTCATGATGTTTTCGAAAGGGTTAGAGCACATAGTAATGTCAGCAAGTATGCTAGCACCGAAGAAATCCATATCTCCTGTTGCCGAAACCCTAAACCCTAAACCCTAAACCCTAAACCCTAAACCCTAAACTCTAAACCCTACACCATAAACCCCAAACCCTAGACCCTGAGCTCTTGTAGTCTCTGCTCAAAGGCTGGGAGCTCGAAGGAGGCGAGTACAAAAGAGACAGCCGGCCCTTCCACTGTCGCTGCAAGGCCTGGGGTTCTAGGGAGCTTCTTTGTGATTTGGTGTGTGTATGTGTATATGTGTATATGCGTGTATGTATATATATATATATATACATACATACATATATATATATATATATATATGCGTGTGTTTACAGGGTTTTTATGCATTTTTTTCGGTCTTACGGGGTTTCATGGGACCTGACGGGGCTTAGGGCTTGGGGTTCAGGGTTTTAGGGTGTGGGCTCTGGGGTTTAGGTCGGCTTCTTTTTCCGGGGTGTGTGGGGGTTTTTGAGTGGGACAAGGTGCAAGATGATCGTTTTATCATGTTGACAACCCTAAACCCTCAACCCTAAACCCTAAAACCCTAAAGAGAGAAAATTGAGCAGCTCTGAACAAATCAATGGGAGTTTCCAAAATCATGGGCCCTGATACCATGCTAAACGGATCCTGGGTGTGAGGATGCCAAACCTTAAGCCCTAAATCTCAAAAACCCTCAAACCCCTGAGCCCCTAACACCCTCAGCCTACCAAAACCCTGCACTGCACCCTGAACCGCTTGGGATTAGGGGTTAGCGTCTACGGTTTTGAGTTGAGGGTTTACAAACGAATCCGCGTTTCGTGAGCTCCCAGTCGAGACGCAGCCAGCCCAAGAATGTCCACTTACAACTCCAGGTCTTGAGGCATGTAGATCTGGGCGCTTCGTTCTGTGCAACACAGCCATGTCTGGGCGTAGTGGGCTTTTTGTGTTCTGTGCTTTGCAGCGCCGCTTCCCTCAGCGGTTTCGGTTCTGCCAATGTGGATGTGGACGACGTCATCGGCTGAAGGTCTGCCTATTCCTTGTTACCACGCTCCAAGTCCCTGTATCATGCACTGCCCAAGCTCTTTCATGTTGCACAAGCGATCACCTTCACGAAGCGAAAAATGCGTGCTCCATTGTCGTCCAAAGTGTTCTAGGGGGTTTACTGGTTAGCGGTTTATGGTTTCGGGGTTGCAGAAACCCTCAACCCCTGAACCCCTAGACCCCTAAATCCCTAAACCTTGAACCCTGAACCCTGAACCCCAAACCCTAAACCCCTGAACCCCTAAATCCCCACCTTGAACCTTGAACCCTGCACCCCAAACCCTCAACCCTTAATCTAAGGTTAGAAGTATGGGTCCCTAATATGGACACTTAGGCCTTTCTGGGGGCCCTTAAGGATACATATAGGGTATATAGTAGGTGTATAAGGATCTCAGGGTTAAGGGCCCATACTGGCCCATGGTTTCAACCTTAGAGACTTAACCTCCAGGTGAACCAGGAGGGCAACCCACTGCGGCCCTCTGAGATGCTAGACCAATGGGGCACTACTCAGGCGGGCTACGGTGAAGGGTATAGGGTTCAGGGGCTTAAGGGTTTAGCTTTAGGGTCCGGTTTAGGGTTTAGGGTTAAGGGTTTAGGGGTTAAGGGTTTCGGGTTTAGGGTTGGGGGTTCAGGGTTTGAAGGTTTGGGGTTTAGGGTTTAGGGTTTTGGGTTCAGGGGGCTTTAGGGTTTAGCTTTAGGGTCCGGTTTAGGGTTTAGGGTTCAGGGTTTAGGGGTTTTAGGCTTTAGCTTTAGGGTCAGGGTCAAGGGTTTAGGGTTTATAATAGGGTCTAAGGCGCCTAGGGTTTAGGGGGTGTAGGATCCAGAGGCTTAAGAAGCGTGAAATGCAACACAAGAGCAGTCCACACCCCCAAAGCAACTCAAAGGCCGTTGTGCGACCCTGCAAACCCCTGAACCCAAAAGCCTAAACCCTAAACCCTAAACCCTAAAGCCCTAAAGCCCTAAACCCCAAACCCGAAAACCCCTGAACAGACATAGTTCCCTAGCTTGAAAAGGCAGATCATTGGTTCTGCGTACTCTGGTGGGGTCTGAATGATTAGTAATAGTATCCCACTTAGTATCCCGTCTATTGTCCCCATGATCACTGTAGTGTAGTATAGTTACCCGCAAGGTAGGGTGTGTGTGTGTGTGTGTGCGTGTGTTTCGTCAACCGATTGCGATCGTAAGCCCATATGGGTAGTTCTCCAAATTAGGCCCAATATAGTACGGCACCCTTATAAAGAAGGACCCTAAAGGGGACCCGAAATTAGAGAACGACCCATATTCCAACCTTTCTGACTTGAGCAGCTGGGCATCGCCTCAACCTCACTCCGTCCCGAGAAACGAAAACTTAGAGAATAATGCTAGCAATGGAGCGCAGAACCGCGCACCTAAGCCTAAAGCACCTCCCTACAGTTCCAGAGGACCTGAGAATCAGGTAGTTCTCTAAATTAGGGTCCTTGTCTCAGTTCCCCACGTATTTTGGCATTTATCAAAAGGACCCCAAAAGGGACCCTAATTTAGCGAACTACCCAATTGGGTGTGTGCTTGCGTTTCGTAAGCCCTAAAACCCTAAACCCTAAACCCTGAAATTAGTTATCGAGGTTAGTGTTCGGTAGAGTATTTGTTTATTTGGGTGGTTGCCAAAATTATGGTCCCTTTCTGGGTCCCTATTATAATACGGCACCTATTATTTTAGGGTACCCCAAAAGGGACCAGAATCTTGACAACTACCTATATACCTTATAAAAGCCTTATAGAAGCCAAAATAGGGGACCCTAATATAGTACCCTAAATAGCAGGATCCTTATTATAAGGACCCCAAATGACAACTACCCATTTGGTGCTGGGAGCCATGGGGTTCCCTGAAGGGCCCTACACCTTGGGTTCTCTCGGCCGTTTTGGCCTCAGCTCGTTTTTTTCCTTTCGGAAGCCGGGATAGCAAGCAACCTTCTTTTTGGGGATTCCTTATGATATAGTCGCAGTGTAGCTCGGCAGAAAGTAGCACCAAAATCCTGGATTTTGGTTGCTTTTTTAGGCTTTTCTACTATTTTGTGGCAGGCCGTGGACCTTGGGCACGGCTACGATCCCCTCAAGCATGCCGACGCCTTCTCTCTTCGCCAACCCGAAGCTTCGATGACCGTGAATACCCTCAGCCCTAGACCCCAAAGCCTACATCCTTAACCCAGAACCCCAAAGCCTACAGCCTAAGCCCTAAACCCCAAAGCCTACATCCTAAACCTTAACCCGAAACCCAAACCCTCCAGCCTAAACCCTGGACCCCAAACCCCTAAACCCCAAACCCGAAGCCCTAAACCCTAAACCCTGTACTGCGCAAGGGCCGAGCTCGATGAAGGACGGCTCGAACTGGAGGTGCTGATTTAACCTCGAAATTCCCATCCTCGAGGCCTACTCCCTAGAAGTCTAACCCTAACCCTGAACTACTAAACCCTAAACCCTAAACCCTAAGCCTCAAGCCCTATAATCCCTACAGTGCCGAAAGCCCAGCAGTCTCCGAGGATTGGAGGGGCTCACCTAGCCAAGCAGTCCGGCACTGTCCGAGCCCACAGAACGCAGAGCGCTGGTGCTGGCAGGACATCCCCTTTCTCGTCTTAAGAAAGAGTTACAGCCCAAGCCCTCAACCCTACACACCAAAACCCTGAACCCTAGACCCCTAACCTCTAAACCCTGTACTTAGTAGTTAAAAGTGTTGGTAGCGTTCGCGTTCGTGTTCGCGTTAGCGTTCGCAGCAGCAGCAGCAGCAGCAGCAGCAGCAGCAGCAGCAGCAGCAGCAGCAGCAGCAGCAGCAGCAGCAGCAGCAGCAGTGCACTTGCAGGCAAAGTGTTACTGCGCTGCTGCTGCGTTCAGAACGACGACAACCGTTGACTGGTTCTCATATTCTTCTGTTGTTGTGGTTGTGGTTGGTTGTGATTGTTGCTGTTGCTGCTGCATCCGAGGGACCATAGCAACAGAAAGAGCAATTGCCGCTGCTGCTGCTGCCGCCGTCGCATCGGACAATGGCAACGGCAATGCATCCACAGAAGGAGAAGGCGAAGCACGCGAGTATCAGCAGGGCTAACCCTGGAGCTTACCCCTAAGCCCTAATCCGAGACCTAAGGCAGCCTTAGGCCTTTGTGATCCCTTGGTCCGTTCTTGGTGGGTTTTTTCGCAAGAGATTTGGCGCAGTTTTGTCGCAGCTACCAGCTTGGCGACTTCAATGCCGGCCCTCTCCCGATGCCTAAGTACTGAACCCCTGCCCTCCTGGAGGACACTATCCCCGAATCGCGACGCCCGGTGCTTCCTGTGGGAGCGAGCTGTGCTGAGTATGGTACCAAGGCCCTTTCTGAAACCAATGTGACCTAGAGCAGCCGAAGCCCTAACCCTCACCTGAACGAGTTGGAGTTTGATGGCTTAGGGTTGAGGGTCTTGTCATGTAGTCTTCATAAGCACGCGAAGAAGGAGATGTGTTTTAAGCGTTGGAGGAACACACCAAACCCTAAACCCTGAACCCCAAACCCTAAACCCCTAAATTTAAGAGCCTCCGGCTCAAGCCGCCGACCCCGCAGGAGTGAGAGGAAAGGACGTGAGGGTTTAGGACAGCAGCTGTCAACGCGCAGGGGGGCGCGGAGCAGAATTTGCAAAAGATCTCACCAGACCGCGTCCAATCGTGGTCCACTCAGACCTCATCCAGACAAAATCCGTCCGGTCCCACAGAGCATCCACGTGGCAACCATGATAGCGTCCAGACAAACTCCGTCCGTTCCCCTGATAACGATAACGTCCAGACAAACTCCGTCCGTCCCCACACAGCATCCATGTGGCAGCCATGATAATGTTCCCACAACCTCCGTCCGGTTCCCACAGAGAGTCCATGTGACAACCATGATAAGCTCCAGACAAACTCCGTCCATTCTCGCATAGCATCCATGTGACAGCCATGACAACGCGCAGATCAGATTCCATCCATTCCCACACAGCAACCATGACAACGTTCCCACAAACTCCGTCCGTTCCCACAAAGCATCCATGTGGCAGCCATGATAACGTCCAGACAAACTCCGTCCGTTCCCGCAGAGCATCCATGTGGCAAC